CAATAATACAATTACCCATCACTACAACAATACACAACACCATAGCTACAAATACAACCAACAACACATTAAAACTACACACAATAATACAATTACCCATCACTACAACAATACACAACACTATAGCTACAAATACAACCAACAACACATTAAAACTACACACAATAATACAATTACCCATCACTTCAACTGTACACAACACTATAGCAACAAATATAAACCACAACACATTAAAACTACACATAAAAATCAGATTACACAACACCATACAACTGCACACACAACATTAAAACTACACACACAATAATATAATTACACTAAAACACAACAATTACACACACAGCAGTAAAACAACATACGCAACACTACAACACATTAAAACTACACACAATGATAAAATTACACAACAACACTACAACTACACACACCCAACACTACAACAAATCAAAACTACACAATAATAATACAATTACCCATCACTACAACTGCACACACAACACTATAGCTACAAACACAAACTACAACACATTACAACTACACACACAATACAATTACACTACAACACTACAATTACAGTATACACACAACACATTACAACTACACACAAAATGATACAATTACACAACTGCAAAAACAACACTACAACTACAGCAACACTGAAAAGTACAACACACAACACTACCACTGCACCCACAACACTACAAAAACAAAGTATAAAATGAAGTTTTAATTGTGGTAAATGTTTTAAATGCACTTTTAGGAATAGTATCAATCCCCATCTGCTCTTATTGTCATTTTACTAGTGAAAGAAGAACACTTTATTAGTACACAGCAGTAGTACACTTTATTAAGCCTCATCTGTTTTACGCAGAGGTTAATATTAGTTCCTGTCTGTGTTTTCATTTACATTATAGCATCAAAAGACAACATAATACATCTCTGTTGGTCTCTTCTTATTCTTAAATTTTTAATTTTTTTTTTGCTTAGTCCCTTTATTTATCTGGGATCGCCACAGCGAAATGAACCGACAAATTATCTAGCATATGTTTTACGCAGCGGATGCTATCACTGGGAAACACCCCCACACTCTCATTCACACGCATACACAACAGACAATTTTAGCTAACCCAATTAACCTATAGCGCATGTCTTTTGACTTGTGGGGAAAACCAGAGCACCCGGAGGAAACCCATGCGAACACGGGGAGAACATGCAAACTCCAGACAGAAATGCTTGCTGACCCTGCTGAGACACGAACCAGTGACCTTCTTGCTGTGAGACGACAGCACTACCTACTTTGTCGAGTTTAATAATACTTAAGCATATATTTTCTTGAGAGCAAAATAGGTTACTCTAGTCATTTATATTAGATAGCTCATTCGCTCAATCTATGTAAAATAAACCTACAACAAGTATAAAATATTAACAAGGCATCTACTGTGTTAAAATATTTTTGACAAATGAAGTATGATTATATACATGTCAGAGCAGAGCTCGTTATTATTCATGACCATTCCAAATATGGTCAATATATAGCTTCTGATTGTAGGGCTATTTTATTTGTAGGTCATATTAAACCATTTCTACGTTTTTGACTTACCTAAGGCAAATACATACTATGTAGATATCAGAGAACAATTTAACTCAAGGTTTCTACAGGTTTCTTCAAATTAAATTTAAGACTTTTTAAGACCTTTTAAGACCATTATGAATTAAATTTTAGACTTATAAAGTTGCTTTTGTAATTGTTTCTAAAGGACTGGTTACTTCTTTAAATAGTTTTTCTATTAATAAAAGATTATGTAAAGGGATGTGTTCCTTCAGTTTACTTTCCCTGTTTAGGGAATTTAATTTGGAGAATTTGTTAAAATGTCTTAAAATAGTAACTATTTACAATAACAACTTAAATATATTTTTAAAAGTTTTCTGATGCATCATTGGTGATCAGCCGATTGGGTAGCTTTATTTGGACATAGGAAAATTAGGGCCTTTTTAAAACAATTGAATGATGAAGACCTACAACAATGTATTTCAGTGTATTTAAGACTATTTAAGGCCTAAAATTTTGTTTTTGAAATTTAAGACATTTTAAGAACACTCTGTTAACTTATTAAATAAATGCACTATATGCCAATTTATATTTAAAAAAATTATTTGCATAACCTCTTTTACTAGCTAGCAGTGTTCAGTCCCAGTCTTGTACAGCTACAGTGGATTATGTAGTAAATTATGTTCTGTAAACACTCTAACCTCTTAAATATTTGCAGAATGCACATTTTCTGAGATTAAAATGCATTACTTGGATAGATGATGGTATCGTAAAAGGCTCAGTTTATGTCGCCAGCGAAATGGTTCTGTTCATTTCACGGGTGTTATTTACATCCTGTCCTCTGCCTTTATTTTATGGGCATTACCCTGCAAACATGCCAAGGTAATTGAACATGGGCAGGTGACTAATTGAATTAGATAGGGAACCCAGCAGGGCCAGACAAATAGAGGTTAATAACCTCGCTCGGCCATATGATGCTCGATGAAATCAACATCATTCTGAGAGCTGCTTTTGCTTGTTGTTTCTCTTGGGGATTTTGTGCTGTTCGTTTTTCATTTTTGCATTTTATTAATGTTTAGAAGTTTATTGCACCATTTACTCTTAGCAGAAAGGAGATGTTATTTTTGAATAGGTCCTGTTATGGCCCTGTTTTATCTAACTAAATATTGACTGATGATTGAGCCATACTCAGTATCTCAGAGAGCCTGTTCTCTGGTCATTTAATCACCCTATAGTTCAGATAAGGTATATTAGTATATGTGTCATCATTCAAATGATAGTCAAAGTTGTTTGCCAAAATAATGGAGAAATGGAGAAAGAAAAAAACTCTGATGGAAAAACTATATGTATCTTTTGAAAATATGACCTAGGGCCTATTAGGGAAATAATCTTTTTATATTTTATGCAAAAATATAAGAAGTACAAACTGAATTTAACATTTTATCTTTTTTTTTTGTCCCACTTTGTGAACATCTTTGTGTGTAATTTCATAATTATTGGACAGATCCTGTAGACTTTCACTGCGGAAACAGTCAGTCTCAAAGATAATTAACATACAATCATCTTGTTCAGACAGAAGCTAATAAATAAATAAAATAAATTTGCTTACAGTTAAGATGATATCATATAAATATGCATGACGTCAAACAAATAAATATGCTACATGATGCCTCAACATTTTTTGTTCCAGTTGTTGATATCAAAATAAAAATAGGCAGTTCCTTATATCATGTTTTCATTTTATTGTTAAGATAGTAAAACCATGTAGCCAGGGTGATGTGAATGATGTTATAAAAAAAACATTGTTTTTACCAAGTGTGTCCTAGGGAGTGTTTTCCATATCAAACTTGCCAAGTCTGAACTTACAAGAAAAAGATACAAGACTGAACATTGTGTAGGCTACTTAATATTGAAGAAAAAGCCCCAATCATATAGTCGAATGTATGCAGCTATGGCTCCATTTTCAGATGTTTCCATTTTCCTCCATCCACACGACACAGAGCAGCAGCGTTTTAAAACTAAAACAGCCACTTCAGCGTTTCCAAAAACTCAGTTTTCAGGGCTCAAAAACTCTGTGGTAGTGTGGACAGAAGGCATAATTGTAGCAAAACGTATGCGTTTTAAAATGAAAACGTATTAGTGTAAACGGGGCCTTAAGCTGGTAAGCCAACTGACAAAAGACTTTCTTTTTTCTCCTGCTCTGCCAGCCACACCTACTCCCCCCTCAGCTCACAGTGCTCTATGCCCTTCTCGGAGCATTTTTAAAAAAAATCTGAGGTAGATTTGAACTGAGAGAGGAGTTTTATGACACTTTAATTAAATGTAAGATTCCACTCAGGTAGCACAATGAGTGTGAGATGACAATATTAAGATTAAAATTTAGTTCAGATGCTTCTTCAAATCAGTAACCTTAAAAATGCACAGATGGTATTAAACCACATCATCTGTCCCCTGTGGGTGCCCCAGGTGGGGCCGGCTGATATGGCTTTTTTTAAATCCCAGATTTTTTTTTACAAACATTTTTTTTAATTGATTCACGATTTATGCAAATCAAGCCCTGAATTATGCAGTTTTTTATTTGTTCTTTTTCATTTCATAAAGCTCAACATTTCTCAGAGTTCCTTCCTGCTCACTTTTATGTTCCGTGTTTCTATGGCAGATATGCGGGGAACTACAGGACCCAGAAGGGAGTGTTGCATGTGTTAAGTAAAAAACGATTTTCATTCAATCGATGTAAACTACACATTCGAGTTAATCATTACAATCGATTTATTGCTCAGCCCTAGTACACGGTGGGCATAACATTCATTTTGTTGTCAGCACAGTATGCTCTGTACTTTATTATACTTCATACTGTATGTTTCACTAAAGGTGGTTCTACACAGTGTGAATTCTGATGTTTGGCAGATTGCATGTCCATGCACATGTCAAGAGTTTACGTGAAAATCATTAAGACACAATGATATATGACACGATTTTATGACCTAGCAACTTTCGAAGCAATCGCATAAAATTCCACGTCAAAAAACATGGACGGAGGAAAACACTGCTTTCATTGCTTTCAAATGTGAAGGGATTTAGTCCAGTAATTACAATTTGTTCATTTGTTGGTTTTATTGCTTTTGTTGTTCTCATCTGATAAACAAAAAATCCACTAAATCATTAAATACACATGCAAATCTAAAGGTTATTACTTTATATAGCCATCTTAAACAGTCTGCGACATTGGAAGAGTCTGTAGTGTGCTGTAGTGATTGTCCTTACGTTGGGTCACATTTCTAGTGATATTCAGCCCATCATCTACCACTTAATATGTTAGCTTGTTTGCTCTCTTTAGGGTTAGAGGCCACTGATTTCGTCAGCTCCAGAGTTTTTCCCTTCATGGTTGACAGATCCTATTTTTTTTGTAAGTGTTTCAACTAACCATTTCTTGTCTTTGGTTTCCCAACAGAGCCGTATGGCAGAGAGCCTGCGTTTGTTCGATTCCATCTGCAACAACAACTGGTTCACCAATACCTCGCTCATCCTCTTCCTCAACAAGAAGGATCTTCTGGCTGAGAAGATCAAGCGTATCCCGCTTACGGTTTGCTTTGCTGACTACAAGGGCCAGAACACCTACGAGGAGGCGGCTGTGTACGTGCAAAGGCAGTTTGAGGACCTCAACCGCAACAAGGAGACCAAGGAAATCTACTCGCACTTCACTTGCGCCACTGACACCAGCAACATCCAGTTTGTGTTTGACGCGGTGACGGACGTGATCATCCAAAACAATCTCAAGTACATTGGGCTGTGCTAGGACGAGGGGATGGGGGAGAGAGGTGGCAGGTGCGGCAAACGAAAAACTCTTGATGAAAGACAAGGCCTGTCTGTCAATTGTTTGGGTGCCCTCGAAAACATTTGCTGAAACAGGAACTCAGTTGAAGCCCGGAGGAAAGGGCTACATGCTGCCATCCTGCTAGATTTATCAATGTCGAAAATGTAAAGGTCAAGAAGGATTTTACAAGGTTGGTATAAATGTGTTTGCACTGAACATATGAGTATGTAGACACACACACACACACAGACATGCATCGTTATGTTTTTTCTCACACATCAGACTTTGGGATCAGCCGTCAAGCCTCTGTTTGACATGGAAACACTGGAAACAGATCTCCCCGCTCCTCTTTTCCCGGAGAAACAGCAGGAATTCCTTACCATCCAAGAATAGGGATCGTTCAACCAAAAATGACAATTCTGTCATCATTTGCTCATGTCGTTTTAAACCTGGCTTCTTTTCTTTTGTGCAGCAAAAATGAGATGTTTAGTAGAATTTCCCTTCTCTTTTCCAAACAATGACAGTGAACGTTATATGAAAAAAATTGTGTTACCTTATTAGGAAAGATTACATCTCAAAGTGAAATCCTTGATTACATTTCAGTACATCACGGTTTCAGTACATAATCCTGTGTTTGTTTGTTTTGTTTTTTTTGTTTTTTTTTGATTGTTAGGGATATTCAAAATCATTCTGAGGCTTACACAAGTAATAGTACAATAACACAGAGTAAATTTCCTTAATATTAATCAGTCTTAAAGTCTGCATGAACCAGAAGCTGCGACCTTTTTTCCATATTGTGATGCAATTCTTAGAAAAATGGAACATTAAGTGAGAAAACAGTGGGCGTGGCTTGTTTTTTGTCTACTGTGAGCTGACTGGATGTAGTAAAGTAAGCGTTTTATTCAAAAAGATAAAGAAAAGGGTTTCGGGAAAGTTATTACAACCTAAAAGAACCCTGGTCCTCACCGTTTCTGTTTGTTGTCATACCACTGTCAAGACGTTGTCTAAGTATTGAAAACAGGAAGCGCATTTTCAGATTTCCTTTCTAAATGACATGCATGGCAAATTGTTCACCATGAAACTAGCAATGTGAGCTAACAAAATCAATATTTTTAGATCTGATTTTATGTGTAATTTAAGACTATGACTTACGAAGTTAATGACGGAATGAGTGTCAGTCAGTTTGGTTTTGAGGTGTGCTTTACTTCTAGTCTGAACACTTTTGGGTGCTCTTTGTCCATATTCAATGTTGCTACCATAGGTGAGAAAGAATCTCTTCAATTTATTGAACAAGTTCTTATGAAAAAAGCTAACTAATGAAAGTGAGTGAAGAATTAAAGATGGCTATTCTAATTTTTAGAATAATTTTTAAGTGCACAAAAAATACATTATGACAAAATCTGTCAGAAATTGATAAGTTGATCAACAGTATATATTCTAACATATTCAAACATCAAGCAAGCATTGCTTTGGTTTGTATATATAGTAGGTCAGCTAGTATGAACAGGTAAAATATTTCCCACTCCCCTGCCATCAAGAGGGACTCTAGCGACAGTTGCTAAATGTAAGTCTTTGGCATCCTTGTTAGTGCACCTGCCTCCCATGTCAAAAACTATGATTCAAAAGCTGCTCGGAACAGGGCAAGTGAAACCAGAGAGGTTATATTGGTGCCATGACCCAGAAGGGACTAATAGGAACTGTGTGAGGAAACCTGTGTGCGTGACCCCCATTTTGTAAACACAGGTTTAAAATCCTTCTCACAGAAGACATGTACTAGCAAATGACACAAGGGGCCATGGTCTTTAGCATCCTTCTTACTGTACCCACAAACAGTTCTGGAAACAATGGTTTGAAATACGCTCATAGCTGGGATGAGTAGAACAGGAGGGGTAACATTGGTGCCGAAACCTAAGTGAGGGCGAGGTGGAGGGAGATCTGCATGACGGAGAGCAGATAGTAGGAACTACCCTGGTCTCAAGAGACTCCAGACTTTAGTGTCCTTCTTAGGATCCCATGCTGTAAATTCTGGTTCAAATCCCACTTGGTGTGGAGCAAGAAGAACCAGAACAGTTATACTGGTTATATTTGCAGTGTGTTCAAGTGCAACTTGAACAATCTGCTTGTTAAGATGTGACGTATGAAATATTTTTTCTGGGTCCAAGTCGCTATACTCATTTGAATTGAGAAAATATTTAACACACATTAAAGTTAATTTTACATCAAATCATACTGTACACAACAGTCTCTGGACTTGCTGCATCATAAATACCAAAATTTTAACAATTTATTTAAAGAAAATCACTTTCTGGCCATTGGATATTAGGCATGGATAGGGTTATATATATATTTTGATCATGATTTTCGAAAGTATTACATCGCTTTGTAAACGTTTATTATTGCCATTTGATGAGTCTCCCTATACAGTTTGATATATCGATTTAACTCGGGAGCCAATTCGCGTGACGTAACACTTAACAAGTGGATGATTCAACACAGTCAGCTTTTGTTTTGTGCGTGAATATACTTAAAGTTTTATACTCATATAGAAATTTGGAATGTATGCAAGCATGAATGAAATTTGAAAGCTGCAATTTTTGCTTTAAACTTTAATTAAATTGAAAAGGGCAGTGTGAACATCCAGCTAAACATCTCTTTTTGCACTTTACAAAAGAAATAAAGTGAGGAGGGTGAGTAAATGATAACTTAAAGGTGAACTGTTCCTTAAAGGTTCTTTGATTTGCAAGATTTAAGTAATGCTGCTTTTGGAGAGGATAAAGAGTTTATATGAAATTATAACTGTATATTATGAAAGGTTAAAAATATTCTGAGAGAAAGATGGAAAAATGTTGATGTCATTTGGTTTTACTCCAAAGGTGAAAACTGCCTCTGTCTGAATATGAAGTCAAATGTCTTTTTTTTTTAACTCACATTGACACTGTAGATTATTTTTGGCTGTCTGACCCCTAGGAAGCAATCTATTTTCTTGTTTCATTTTTTATGTTTTCCTTTTGCCTAAAATAGGATGTAATCCAGAGTTTTTAGAGGAAATGTCCTTCTTTCCATGAGAGTGTTACGATGACATGAGCATTAAGTGTTTCATAACGATCATTCCAGATTCAAAGAAAAATAAACAGTGCCAATATTAATGTAAATAAAAAAGGCCCGTCAATCATGTTACTTTTTCAGTTTTTATGAACAAAAAAAAGTATATATATATATTGAAACATAAAATATGCATGATTTTGTTACTTTGGGATTTTGATAAATTATAGTTTGATTTGCTTTCTTATATTTTTAGTTTTACTAACATGCTCCAAAAATATATCAAAGTCAAACACTGTGTACGATTGTACAGTTGTTTCCTGCGAGGTATTTATTGAAAAGAGTTTTATGTGCAGAAAGAGTAATTTTATGTCCAGCGCAACCTAATCTCAGCACGGAAAACATTAAAAGAGGATTTACTCCTCCAATTTTGTCTGTAAAAAGAAAAATGAGAGAAGGAGAGAGAAAAGAAAACCTATAAAGAGCAGATTCTTTCTATTCTGGTGTCATTTCGAGTGGACATTGTCCGCTGTATGTGTAAATACTATGTGAGGTACACTTTGTGAGACAATGAAATAAACAAAAAAAATCACTTTTTAAGATGTAGGGATGATTGACAGCTAAAATGGGGTTCATCCCACTCCAATCCTCTTTCTGTTCAGCTATGACGATGTACAACAAACCCAAACAAGGGCTTCAGGATTGATTTTACAGGATGTCCACCAAAAAAAAGAAACAAAGAAACAAATAATAAAGTATAAAAGAACAATAATAGCGAATAAAAAGAATTATGCAAATGTTGTTTGTGCTGCAGGCTTGTTTCTTGTGTTGGGGTGAGTGAAGCTTCAGTAACTCTTGGTTATCAAAATTACACATTGCCTGTGTTTGTCACTTTTTTTACATGACGTATAATGCAGGGACACATTTATTACAGTCAGATATTTTCTGCAATGCAATCCAACTTGGTTGAAAATGCAACATTTCAACAAAGATAAAAAGATTTGAAAGACATTTTGCATTGTGACATCCTTTTTAAACAGTTCAAATCACTGTTGCATTATTTTCATATTGCGATTGTAGTACAGCTTTTACTGTAACATGATAAAAAGTGTCAATTGACCTCAGAAAATGGAAGTAGTATCACAATGCAAAAAAAAATAAATTATTTAGGCATTAAGACTTATATTTTCATAACTATAAATTAATAACTAAAAAAACTGCAATAGATCTAATTTTAGCAGAGAATTTTTATTGTAATATAATTAAAAGAATATAAAAATACTGAAGAGCAATTACACTTATGCTTCTGTGGCCATTACATTCATTTTCTTTTTGGCTTGATCCCTTTATTAATCTGGGGTCGCCACAGCGGAATAAACCGCCAACTTATCCAGAACGTTTTACGCAGCGGATGCCCTTCCCATTGCAACTCATCACTGGGAAACACTCATACACTCTCATTCACACACATACAGTACACTATGGACAATTTTAGTCTACCCAATTCACCTGTACCACGTGTCTTTGGACTTGTGGGGGAAACTGGAGCACTCGGAGGAAACCCACATGAACGCAGGGAGAATATGCAAACTCCACACAGAAATGCCAACTGACCCAGCTGAGGCTTGAACCAGCAACCTTCTTGCTGTGAGGCGACAGCACTACCTACTGCGCCACCACGTCACCCTCTGTGGCCATTTGTCAAGCTATAATCAAGTTCAATCTATTTTTCCACTTTACAGCTGAATATTTGGCAACATTTTTATCAGTTTTGATGAGTTCAATCTCCAATTCCACATATTAAATCAGTCATACAGTAGGCAGACATGAGATTGCATATGAGAGAGTGAGTGTATGTATGTGAATATGGGCATATCTAATAGATCATAACAATTTAGCTACCTCATCGCAAATACTATTTAGTATATTTGGTTAATCCCCATCGGCTATGCTGCACCAGCTTAGAATGTCATCACTCGATTCAACAAATTTTTCATTGGTTATTATATCAGCTGATAGATATGAGCCTGTAGGAGTCTTCTACATCAACTGGTAGTCTCAAAAGGCGGTTATCATTCGGATGGTTAATCGCCTATACCAGTGGTTCTCAAACTGTGGTACGTGTACCACTAGTGGTACGCAGGCTTTCTTCTTGTGGTACGCACAGGAATCGCTGAATAATTAAAGTAAATGAATTAACACACTTTTTTAACCCTTTAACGCATACGCGAACACTGATGTGATCAGTTAATTGATTTTAATAGGTTAAACCTTTTATTTTGTTTATAGTTTTTTGATGTATTCTATCATTTGAGCGGTTGTTGGAGGCATATCCTGTATTTATATATCCCAATGTTGACAGATATAGCTTAATCACTTGCTTTTCAGAAACACAAAGCCTAATCTAACTCACGGAAAGCAGATCTAATTTCTAATTTAAATATGTAAATCCAATTTGTGTATTTAAAATACACGATAATGTTTAAAATTCAAAAATAACTCATATCATACATCCAACTTATATTTCAAAATGTATGAAAAAGAGTGTATATATGAACATGATGACATATAGCCTATGTTTATGAAGTCCAAGGAACATTTCCAGGTTTTGATGAATCGGCTACTTAATGATAATACTTTACATTTAAGTACAGCAGTTTTCTTTTTTAATTTAAGTACAGCAGTTTTCTTTTTAAATTTTAAGAACAGAGCCATTTTTAATTAACTTTTAAAAGCACATATTAATTTACATGTTGACATTTTATTTATTTTTACCTGTAAGCACAGTACAGTGTTAATGTTCAAACTATTTATAATGTTTAAAGTGGCTGACAATGATAAATATTCATAATAATAGTAATTAATCTGCCTTGTTTTTGAACTGTGCAGAGCTTTAGCTGCTTAATTAGGCCTACTACGCTACTGTATTTCAATACCGGTCATTATGGTGGTACTGGAATAGACAATTTTTTTCTGAGGTGGTACTTGGTGAAAAAGTTTGAGAACCACTGGCCTATACTAATACAGAAGACTACAGATCCAGATCTGTTTTTACATTATTGTGACTGTTGGGTTTAGGGTTGGGGTAGGGGTGGACGAAATTTAATAAATATTAAAAATTATTCTCATTAACTTCTGGCCACAGCCGTATGTGATCTATGGCTGCTTACCATGTGGATGGATGATAACAGCTTTTTGAGCCTACCAGTAGGTAAAGAAGCCTCCTATTGGCCCATTTCCCATATCTATCAGCTGATAACCACTGATAACTCATTCAGTCAAGTGATATATTCGAATCGGCAGTATAATTGCACTCTCTTTAGCCAATCAGAAGCAAAAATTTCAACAGACTGTTGAATATACAGTATTTGTTTTTTATGTTTCTGTGTGTATCTTTCTGCATGTGTGTGTGTGTGTGTGTGTGTGTGTGTGTGTGTGGGTGTGTATGTGTGTGTATTTTTAGAAAATAATGCACACCAATTGAGCCAATCAGCATCAAACTTTCAACAGTCTGTGTACTGTGTTTATTTGTGTATGTGTTTGAATTTGAACACCAATTGTTCTGCAATCCATTCCATGTAAACAAATCTAATTATCCACACAAATATTACAAGAACAAATGACTTTAGAATTGTGACATTATTCATTCATTCATTTTCTTTTCCCTTTATTAATCTGGAAACGCCACCGCGGAATGAACCACCAACTTATCCAGTATATGTTTTATGCAAACTGCACACAGAAACACCAACTGACCCAGCAGAGGCTGGAACCAGCGACCTTCTTGCTGTGAAGCAATCGTGCTACCCACTGCGCCACCGTGACGCCAATTGTGACATCATATAGGAAGAAATATTAAAAAATTATTACAATTATAATGTCAAACAAATAATTAAATTAAAGGTTTAAATTACAGTGACAATATATGAAAAATACTATAAAGTAATAAATAAATAATTAAATAAATAAATAAGATAAAAACATGGAAATATATGTTGCGTTTTGGATACATCATTGCAATCAGAATAGGAAAGACTGGCAAAAAAATTACAATGCAAAAATGAATTACTTTGCAAAGTAAATTGCATCAAGGTGTCACTCTTGAACTAAAAAGAAAAAGAAACAATAGAAAATATAAGCCCTGACTTTATTTGCTACCTGCATTTACTGCTAATGCAAGAAAAATATTGATCCCTTGTTTTTACAGAATTATCAGCCTCATATAATGTTCACAGCATAACTTGATCAGCAAAGATCTCTGTATCGAGTAGTGCTGTGTTCATGACCAATCATTTGCGCACATGCACTGAGAACCATCAGCCTAATTCAGCGCTTTATTCTGAAGGCTGGCGCACTGCATATAATCCATGAGGAAATGGTTAGTTCCTGCTCAACAAATTCAAGGAAATGTCTTCTCATTTTCAGATCAGTCCACTCCAGCAAGCTCAACACTGACTTTATTTATGGTGCACTGCACTAAAGCAATCAACATGCTAATTAAATGTGCAATTAAATGATTCTTCAATTGATTTATGTCTGCGGAGAGTTTGTCGGAGATGTAAAAAGAAGCGAACAGAAGATGAGGCAGAAAGAGAGGCAGGAAAGATCTCGCATAATGGACCAATTAGTGGACAAACCCTGGATGACCTCTTATAGTTGGCATGACTAACACAGCCATTGTTTATCAGGCTCTAATTCTAGAGGAACAAAACAAAACTGCCTGCAGAACTGATCCAATACAAGTACCGAGAAGCATTTTCAGTCTGTACAGAGCTGTTTAACCACTTGATCACTAAATGTGTTTTGCCACATACTAATTACTGTAAACCTCATTGTGTATCCACGTTGTCAAGACACATTCTTACAAATCTGCATTGAAAATTTATTAAGAATAGAGGATGAAGGATGGGAGAAAGGCTGTATAATGGTGATGGTATGTACCAGGCTTTAAACTATAACATTTGATTGGATGGTATAGAACTTGAATACAAAAAGCAAACAAACTCCTTTTGTCTGACCTTGTATTAACAAAACTCAACAAATTGGATTCTATCTGCCTGTTTTCACCATGATATAAAAATATGAATGATAAAAACGATTGTTAATTGTTTATGATTTTGTTGAACTCATCTGTTCGCACCGAGCCAACTTAATTCTAACAGAATTCGTACAGAAAAACAACAATACCCATGATGCTGTACAGAACATACCACCAATTAGAAAAGCTTGGCCAAATATTTGGCCAAAAAATGTCTGTATTACTTACCATTGGAAACTTGAAAAATGGCTTTTGGTCGCCTTCCTGCATACTGCCATGGAAGCAGCGTTAGCATTAGCTGTTATGCTTTTTAGGCTAATCATTTGAGGGTGGCTTGCCTACTAAAAGCTTTGGCAATAAGAGATCTTTAGCTCCACCCACACCCATGAAGCACTGCGAATGAGGTCAATCTCCATACATTCTCAAAATATTCAAATATTTGCATGTGCAGTACCGCTGCTCCCTATACACAGATTGTGTAGGGCGTCAACCCCGGAGAGGGGCACCATTAAAAAAAATTATTAATACTTATTTATTAATATAAATATAGATACTAATAATATGTTGTTAAATACATTATAAAAAATAGGTTTATGACAAACGCAAAAACAAACATGTGACGTAATTTTTTTTCTGTGTACGTGCATAGCCGCATAAGCGTAATTCGGTCCGTTCCACTTGTCTTTGCGGCTGCTAGCAGCAAATTATTATAATTGATGCAAGTTGCAGCTCTATGCCCGGGAAAAGACACCAGAAGTCTGGAGCCAAGAAGAGGAAAAAAGTACAAGATGAATCACTAGCATCACTTTCAGGTAACTTATCTCTATGAATCTGGAATTTTTTGGTTGCTCAAATAAATTTGTAAGGCTAAGGTTTAAACTTCCCAACAACTGCACCAAATCTGGCTTATTTGTTGTAGCTTACAATCAGTGCCTTGTTTTGCGGCTATGCATTGTGCTTTAAACTATGACAGGACATGTTTTATGACTTGTCGCGTTTGGCCCTCTTCCCCATGTTGCTGATAATTACACAAACTCAGTTATTTTTATTAACTTGTGCAATACTTTACAATTCTGTTTGCACATCAGCTACATACACATGGACTGCACAGTTATTTCACTGTATGTATTATTTAATATTATATAGTTATTATATATGTAATATATATTATATAATTCTTTGCAGTTATAATTGTTTATTGTTTTGTCTATTTCTATACATTTCTTATTGCTGCTGTTGTTATTGCTTGCATCACTGCTATGATAATAAAGTCTCTTTAGTCTTTACATCGGTGGATTGGTGTGTTTTTAATAGGATGGTTTTTTATTTTTGTACATTACAATATGGAATTACGAAACTGACTCATTCTGTGTTTTCGGAAAGATCAATAATATAAAATGAGTCAAATTACTGTAAGCCACAGGCCATAAACCATTTTTACAGCATGAATTCATTAATGATTATTTTTTCTGAATGTTAACAAAGTTTTTGTTTAAAAATACACTTACATTCATTAATTCTTAAAAACCACAAATGTCTTTGATTTATACTAACAGCAGCGGTCAGCTTTTGCAACCATAGATTATAGTGCAAGTTAAATCCACATTTTGGTTGTAGTAATTTTAGACAAAATTTTGAGGAGTGCTTGACTAGCCCATTATCTTAATGGTATGTCATGAGTTTTTCCTTTAAATGACTAATTTCCTCTGCATTGTACATGGAGGTTCAATGCTGAAATTTGTCACAAAAGAAGATGAGGTGTCCTGATCCAGCACTGCTCCAGAGGCACCAGCAGCTGCACAGGTACAGACATAAGATGCAGCACTGAGGACCATCCATCTCTACAGGTACAGAGGTTTTATTCCTTACCTTTTGTAAATGATTGAAATTGGGAATGCTTCGGCAAAAGACATGTCAGTGTTTATATTAATGTAAACTATTATTTTTTATGTAATTATTTGATTGTTTAAGTATAATTTTGAGTGTTTATATGCAGATTTATGTGTATAATTGAATAAATACATGTTAAAATACATATGTTTGTGTGTTTTTGCTCCTCTGTGGAGGCACGACAGTAAAATTTAACATAGGGCACCTTTTTGGCCAGCAGCGGCCCTGTATGTGGGTCTCATTTGTAATGACCTCGAAAATTATCGTTTCTATATCTAACCAAAAGCTTTAAATGAATAGTTTTATAGTTCAGTATTGTTTTTAATTCGGGTGATTAATTTGCAATGCTTCATGGGATTGTAGTTGTTTCTCTTCTTTACATTTTTTATTGTCCAAATTTTTATATATATATATATATATATATATATATATATATATATATATATATATATATATATATATATATATAAAAAAAAAAAAAAAAAAAAAAAACACACACAGAAATAAAAATATATTTATTTTAATATAAAAAAAAAAAATAAAAAAATATATATATA